TGAGTCGTGTCAAGAAGCCATTGTGTGCCTGCTCATCGGGGCCCCAGGCCACTGTGTTGGCTCAGGAGTTGGGGGCACTGTCCTTCAAACCTCATTTCTCCGCAGGAGAGAGAAGTAGCAGTGCCTGAGCCTGGAGGAGCTTTCCACAGGGTGGGAGCTCTCAACCCACCTGTGCAAAAACATCTGATAGAGCATTTACCTCCAGCCGTCTGGAAGTTCATGAGGCCAGGCGTGCCCTGGCGACCCAGGTCCCCAAGGCAGGCTGTGCTCCCAGGTGCTCGCATTTGGCATGCAGAGTGCAGAGCAACCAGGACAGAATGGGTAACTGAGTTTTTAAATGTTCTGGGATCAGCCAGAGTTAGGGAGAAAGCTGAGTTATTTCCCAGGGGAATATGCCTCAAAATCTCAGATATGAAAAAAAGTCCCTTTAATGTTGAAGATCCTGTGTGACATACACTAACTGCTTTACATGGCTTTAAAACTATAGACATATTCTAGAACAGCTGACCATGTTCCTTATTTTCACTCTTTAATTCTAGAGTATCAGTAAACATCTATATTTTTCTTTCTTGTGATCCAGTTAAAACACAGAAGCCAGCTGGCCTGAGTGTGTCCTGGGTCTGGTCACCTCAGCGGCTCAGTATTTATTAACTCAGCAGTCATGTGAGGCCCCGTGGTCCCTCACCTCCAGTGCCCGGGTCATGCGCACGCCCTTTCTTAACCCTGCTTTTCTCTCTCAGCTGCCACTCCTGTCTCCCAATCCCACTGCGCTATCTTTGTCTCATTACTGCCATGCCTTCCACACGGCTATGCTCGATTTTCTCCTGTCTGTAAAGAGATTAATGCTTCCAAATCTGGTGACACTTTCTCCTCCTAAGCCTTGCAAGGCTTCCAGTTGCCTGAGGTAAGACAGTGCCCTCAGAGGACCTGGAAAGCCGCAGGGGGCGCCTCTCCTGACTTCCGTCCTCTTGCGCAGGGCGGGTGAGCCTGAGCCAGGAGGAAAGGCAGGCGCGGGGAAGGCGGACAGGTCCCGGGGTGAGATTCACGCTCAGGTCCCGCTGGGGGTAAATAGGGTGCGTGAAAGTTTACAGGGTCAACTCACTGACAGCACAGGGGCGATTTCAGCTTTCATTATGTGATAACTACTCGAACAAGTCTCCTTTTGATTTGAACTGGGGAGTTCCCTCCTCTACCCGGGAGCTCCCGGAACCGCAGGCAGCCTTGAACTCGCTTCGGTGGTCTAGTGCCCAAAGTGGCATCCCCGTCATACGCCTCTGCGGGGCTGGGCTGTGGCTCGAGCCGTCGAGAGCTTCTGTGGGCTTTGGGTCGGTAAATCCCATTTGCAAGGACAGTTGCCCAGCTTTTATTCTGAGTTTTCCAGTAGTGCTCAGCCCCAACAGAATTAATTAATTAATTAAATTAATTTTGCGGAACCAGGGATTGAACTCAGGCCCTTGCACTTGCCAGGGAAGCGCTTATTCCACTGAGCCATCTCCTCGACCCCAACAGAATTTGAAAATGAGGCTGATGCATAGTTTTGACAGAATCCGAAGAGTGAACATCCGGGACCGACTGCTGGCCTTTGGAGTGCATACGCTGGGGCTTCGGCTGCTGCACGGGCGTCTGCAAAGGCATGGCCAGCAGCCTGCTGTCAGTATTGTCGGGATAAAGTTAAGCCAAGTCAAGTCGTGTCAACCCTGCAAAATGGGAAACAGGATGTAGTTGAAGTTTCAGTCAGCCCACGCCAGCGTCATAGTTGCTGCAGGAAGCAGGGACAACCTCCCGCAAACAACCGCACATCTTCCTGGAGTCCTCTTATCTGAAGCAGAGCTTGAGAACAAGGATTCATGGGCTCATCTCTTGGAAAGATAGCCTGTGCCTTTGTATAAATACAACTATTGTGTTGCATTTAAGCAGCGCACACACTGCTGCTTTGTATCCTCCACAAAGTAAATAAAATTTTACTCTCCTGCTTACGGTCTGGAGATGATTCCCCGCGCCGCACTGCCGTGGGGGACATTCAGACATTGCCACCCCAGGGCCAGGCGCTAGTGAGTGCTGTGCACAGTCTATCAGGCTGGCCTTTGGAGCTAGGCCAAGCGCGTGAGTGTTCAGGGCGCGAGGAAACCGGCTCAAAGGCCTTTATTCTACCATTCTGCGTCTTTAGCGCAGCAGTCATGTGACTTTCACCGTCCTAATCTGTCCGGGCAGCTCTTCCACCCCCGAGTGCATCTGACTCCTGCAGACTCCTTGGACCAAACGATTAGGACTGTGGGCTGGTGGGGCATGAACGCTAGTGCTTTAAACGAGGTCCCAGGGACAGTCCAGTGCTTGGTAAAGTTCACCCAGCCACCCAGGGATTTTTCAACCACTGCAACTATTGAAAGATTTGTTTCAGAAGAAAATCTGAGTTTTCTTCTGCCAGGGGCAGTGTTTTCTGGAACATGCGGGGCTGGAACAGCTGCAACACAGGCTGTTTCCAGTCTTTCTTATCCTTCTTGCTTACTGAGCCCGATGTGGCTGATCCACAAACATCGCCAACACACAGCAGGTGAACTATCTTAACTTGATTTTCTTATAAAGGGTTTTGCATTAGATTCCAGTCATAGTAGTTGAATTTCTCAGCTTATTTTTTAAAAATTTATTTATTAGATGCAGGGTCTCACTATGGAGTTTGGACTCATAGTAATCCTCCTGTCTCAGCCTCCCCAGCACTGGAATTTAGGCATGCACCACCTCACCCATTGCAGTGGCACACTGTGTGCCTGGAGTTCCAGGGAGGGAACCCATGTCCTTGCATTTGCCAGATATCTCAGCCTATTTTATGCTTTCCTAGGTGTTTGGGGTTTCTTAGGTTTAGAAAATGAGAAGCTATTTTGTTTTACTTATTATTTCATTATTATTAGTATAGGTGAGTAGTACCTAATGATCACATTCCTCGTCAGGCCACGTACACAACACATCTTAATTTCTTTTTCATCTTCTTCCCTCCCTTCCCCATCCCCTATCCCTTGAGCCCAGGGATGCAGGGGTAATTGAGTTTTGCAGTTGATTTGTGCTTGAGTTTAGCTTTCCTTCTGCCAGTAATTTATAATGATAATCTTGTAGCAAAATTCTGTAGCTAGATGCTGCGTGTGTGTGTGTGTGTGTGTGTGTGTGTTGTAGTGCATGTGTGTGTATAGTGGGTACATGCATGTGTGTAGTGCGTGTGCATGTGTAGTATGTGTATGAGTGTAGTGTGCATGTGTGTAAGTCCTGAATGTCTGGTGACCTGGTGGAAGAGGAAGTTCTCTAGCAGTGTGGTCAACACACACAGTGGCTGAACTCAGATCCTTTTGAATAACAGGCAGCAGCTTAGTACTGAGCAGATCATGCAGCCACTTGGCTACTACACTTAGAGCTGTTCCCGCCTGTGCAGCCAATCTGCAGGCCAGTACAATTAGACAGCGGATGAGGCTCAGCTTCTAGCTCTATTCTCCTAAGCAGAGCTTCATGGTCTTCAAGCTGGGTTACTGAAGCCCACAGCAGGCAAAGTCTAAAGGCCCTGGGCTCTGTCAAGGCCTGGGGGCACTAAGAAAAAGAGAAGCAGGTATTTGCAACAACTGGAGCACTGCAGCCTGTGAGGAGACTACAGGGTGCCTGGGTGGTTCCCTTCTTGATTTGTAGCTTGCCCAACAGTAGCAGGCTTGTGTCGGGAAACTGAACGTTAGCAGTAGCAACATCCCACACAGAGTTAATGGCTTTCCTAAGCCTCGTGCCATCCACAGCCCCAAGCCAGCTCAGTCTGCAGTACATAGACCTGCAAGTGAGCTGCATACAACAGCACACAGGCCTGCCCTCTCTGAGAGACTACAGGCCCACAGGAGTCTGGAAGGGCGACTCTGGCATTCAGCTTGCTCTTCCTAAATTCTGGAATTTAAACAAGGCCCCCATAAACGAGTTCCTTCCTTTGTGCAATCATGTTTTATTTGCACAGAGCCACAGCCCCTCTCGAAATTTGCTGTGTGATAAGTCTGTGCCTGTTTGTTTGTGTTTGCACACATGTGCTGTGCAGGAGAGGCGCTCAGCGGGCAGGCAGGGCGAGGGAGCCCAGACCAAACCGCTCCTTGTTTGAATCCTAAAGAAAGGCAATGCTCAGACGGCTCTGGGAGCCGGAGGCTTCAGTTTCTCCTGAGAGGTGCTGTGGTTGCCAAATTACTTAGTAAAGAAACCTAAATGCAGTAGCCTTTTTGGACATAGTTTAGCAGCTGGAGGATAATTTAACTGGATAGGAAGCATATCTCGAGATCTAAATTCATGCAGCCATGGATGTTCCTATCAGACAGTCATTTACCCCTAAAGTTTCCTTTTCCTATTATCTCTTACCTCCCAAACCCCAAAGCAGCTAAGTTTGGCTAGGAATGGGGAATGGGTAGAGAATGAAGTTATTCTGTCTTTCTTCATAGGGCAAGGGGGTCTGCTCCTCAGCTGGCATCCCCAGAGTCTGATAAAAGTTACTTCTCTAAAATATAACAACAGTGTGGAGGAAAGAATATTATCTCATGTGTGAGTTGCAATTTTGGGAGATTTCCTTGTGAGAAACATCTGAGCAATCAGAGGATGGTCCCAGGGACAGAGTCGTTTCAAAGTGCCACAAAAATAAATAAATGGGAAAGACAGGGAAAGTTACCAGGTTTGCAGATTGTGAAACTCGCCTTGTTTAAAGCACGAAGGCGGTGAGGCCGAGGGCTGTGAATAGCCCTGTTGTGAGCCTTCAGAGCTGAGGGCTGCGAAGCTTTGCGAAGCCCTGTTTCATTTTTATCGGATGGAACACATTTGGTTTCTTTTTTGACAAACCGTGTCTCTGGGCGGGAAGGAGAAGGAGCAGGCGCTGTTATTGGCCGGAGCTGCAGCAGGGTCCCTCCCGTTGCCAGAGGAGACCGCATGGAAGTGTCCAGGGGAGGGACCAGCGGTCAGGGGCGGGCCGGAGGGTGAGGTCTTAAGCCCTGTGCTCAGAGCTGCAATTTGTGAGCCCACAGTGATGAAATCGAGCTCTGGGCAAATCAGAGGCGCCTGTCAACTTCCCAGGTGGGACTGCCTGGGGTGAGCAGACTGAACTCGGAGCTGGGGCAGAGCAGCTGCACGGGGCTCGCTGACGGAGAGGCTGACGGAGAGCCAGAGCCGGAGCCGGCATGGCTGCAAAAGGCTCCACGCGGTCGAGCCAGGTAGGAGAGGAAGGGACCTGGGGAAGGGGCAGCCTCAGGGCTCTGCCTTCTGCAGGGGAAGCTCTCTGTTGCTCCAGTGCAGGCAGCCAGTGCCTTGGGAAGTGTGGGATGCGGGCGTCGGAGTCATGAGATCTGATTCAGTTCCGCGAACTATACTTGACAACTGGGTCTCTATCCCCGCAGGTCTTCTCTCTGTTCACGTTTGCCATTGGGGTTCATATCTGCTTAGGGGTCACCGTGAGCCGCATCAAGAGGGCAGAAGGATGGGACGAAGGCCCCACTTCAGGTAAGTGGAGCCATCCTTCGCATCTTCAGACCTTTAGGATGCCATGCACTAGGCGACCGCTGTAAACTCCTTAAGAAATCCATCTTTAAGATAATTTTGCAGGGTAACTAATTTAGGCCTGTATTTCTCTAGGGAAAAACCAACTCTATATACCATGCAGGTGAAAGAAGGTGTTTGTTAACTTGAGAGCATTTCTCATTGTTGCCTAATAATGGTTCCTTGAAATCTTTATACTCCAAAATTTATAGGTGCTGATATGCCAGTAAAACTTCTGTCCCCAACAAAGGCTGGCCCGCTGCGGGGAGGACAGGTGTTACCTTCATCTTGGAGAGAATCTGATCTGTTGTCCTGCAGTGTAGGATGCAGTATTTGCTTCCAGACTTAGGATAACCAGGAATGGAAAACACAAAGACTGTGAGTGCACTGCTTCTAGGAAACCTCAGAAATTTAGGACTTCCAGAATTGCTCAAAGTGGAGAAGATAAAAGAGATGCTTCAGCAGGCTTATAGGACAGCTCTGCAGTCCTTGTTGTCTTTTGGCATAAAGAGAGGTGAATTTGAGCAGCAAGCCCTGATGAGCCTAAGGGGGCCAAAGCGCAAGTTTCTTTCTGCAGCATGAGTACCTTAGGCAGGGCGAGGCTTCTGCTGAAGGAGCTCGTTGTAGACCCAGAGGGGGGAGTGCTGACCAGGGCTTAAGCAATGAGCTGGTTAATTTCCTGGAAATTGGAGCTGTTGATGGTTCTAGAAATAAAATTTTTATTTGAAGTAATGGATACTCTAGAGGGCAATATTTTCTTGACTTTCCCAGACATCCTGGGGTGTTTGTCTGTCTTCCTGTGCACTTTGCATTCCTCCCGATCTCCTGATCCGATGTCCATGAAGGATGGTCAGTTCTCCCTAGCTGGCATGAACTTTTATTAACATCTTGGGTGTGATCTGTGCATCGATGGAAGAGGATAAATCTTCCTTACATCAAGTGAATCGCTTTTGAGTCATGCCAGAGGTCTGAAGAAAAGCATTAGTGGCGGGTGAGTGAGTTGAGTGGGGTGTGGCTTGGGTGAAGAGTGAGAAGATAGATCATAAAAGTTGCAGCCCGGAGGAACCAGATGGGCAAAATGAGCCGCCCTGAGCGGAGGGGCAGGTCGCCAGGCACAGGAGAATGCTGCTGGGATTGGTAGCAAATGCTGACTTAAAGGCCTTTCTCACTCCTGCTAATGCAGCTGTGACTAACAGACGGGACAGGCTCAGCAATGTGACAGCCAGTGGCCGATTCTGTCTGATGCATCCATAGGAACTTTCTTTGTCTGTGTCATCTTAATAGATTACTTTAGATGAAAGTGCTATTGAAGGAATTAAGCGTTCTCTCTCTCTCTCTCTCTCTCTCTCTCTCTCTCTCTCTCTCTCTCTCTCTCTCTCTGCCCCTTTTTGTGATACTGGAGATTGAACTCAGGGACTTACCACTAAGCTGCATTCCCACCCTTTTTTAAAATTTGGGACAGAGTCTCATCAAGTTCCCAGGCTAGCCTTGAACTTTCTTGCCTCAGCCTTCCAGGTACACACCTGGCATTATAGGTTTGAATGCTATTTCTTGAGGTGTGCATAAGATCACATTGCCTGGTATTTTCAAAATTAAGGCATTAGTGAAAAGAGTCAGGGCACACTTAACTTGGCACCCTGGTGTGCACCATGTGTGGTGCAATCTTGGGCTGGTCTCTTGTCTTTGAGCTGTGTGATGAATCTTATCTAACTTTCCTTCTGGGTAAGAAACACAGTTCCTGACTCTTTGCATTCTGTTTCATTGCCTTTTTAAATGTATTCATGTGTTCGCTGTTGAGAAACTGGAGAAGTATAGCTTGAGTTGATTAATCCTTAAGAATATGTACATAACAAATGATTTCCACATGTTATGAGAGGCGGCTGGAAGAACTGGTGAACAGCGTCCCATCTGGAGCAGAGCCTGCCTCAGAACCTGGACATGAGGCCGTCTTCAGCACCCAGGAAGCCTTTGCTTCTTGAATTGCCTAATTATTGTTTTATGTTTTAAGGATGTCATCTACATAGTCTTTTCAACATGTGCCTTCAGGAGTCTTGGTCTCAGGGTCCAGTGCAATTCAAGTGTGAGATGTAGGGTTTTGGTTTATCTGCACACTTTTTATTTTAACTTTTTTTGGTGTCACTCTCCTGCTGTTTAGCCACTTATAATTGATTTCTCCTAAAAAAAAAAAAGAAGACCAAATATGACCTTTGGAAACTTGGAGAAAGTATACTGAAGAGAGTCTCTATGACTTTTTAAATGCTACACGTGCCTAGAAAGAATGCCTTTGAAACACTATGAAAGAGTGTTATTCTGTTAGTAAATCTTCCCCACCCGAAAGCACTGGCTGCACTTTTACCTATGAATAAGACCCTGGGAAAGAAAGTACCTTGTTTATTTCCTTTTGGATTTAAAGACCTCTTGTGTAACTCAGTGCTTCAGAATCTTTCAATGAGAAGAAGCAGCACACGGGTATTCACATAAGGCCGGCTGTAGCCTGGGCAGAGCATGGCATCCCACCTGAAGGTACAGGACCTCTCACTAGGAACTCTGGCTCTGGGGTTTCCTGCAGCAGAGCCCATTGTCTGTGTGCACGCGTACTCTCCCTGCTGAACTCTGGACCCAGATGTGGGCTTCAAGGCCTTGGCAGTGCAAACAAACTCATAATTAATTAACTAGCACGCTTGTAGCAGCACTCCTTTTTAGGACCTAGCACTCTACTGTGATTGGGATGGAATAGGAGTTCTTCAACCAGGTCATCAGAAGAAATCCTGCACATTTCTGGGAGGAGTGATAGGCGCAGAGGAAATTCTTTGCTCTTCTGAGTAAAAATAATGGACTTGCTGGTGAATGAGATGAAAGTAATCGAGTATCAAAGTAATGACCAAAGTTGGGTTTGACATCTTTGTCCCAAACATGTGATGGGGCTCACTGGATTTGCCTGGAGGATTTATGTGCATTCTGTATTATGGTGTTCATGTATGCATGGACACATGTATGTGTGTACATGTGTGTATGTAGTATGTATGTATGCATGTTTGTGGCGCTATGGAGAAGTTTATGGTTTATGGTTTCTGTGTCTTAGCTATTCTTGCGACCTCCTGTTGGAAATGGAGGAATACCTCTCTGGAATGTAAGCAGTATAACACCTGAGAGACAAAGGACATTTGTGGGCTTTGAGCCACATTCTTGTGGCTAACAGGAACTTGTAAGCACAGTCCACTTTGATTTATTTATTGGCAGTACTGGGAATTGAACTCAGGACCTTGCACTTGCCAGACAAGCACTTATTCCACTGAGCTATCTCCCTGGCCCAATGTATCATCACTTTTAGTGACTTGAAAGTATATGAGTGGGATAGATTTGTTAGTAGAGATGAGATGAAAAGTTTCACTCACAATTTTATAATTAGAGCTTCTTTTGGTGATTCATAGATAAAATAGAAAATGATAACGTTAATGAGTAGGCTTTTGTTCCTTTGATAATTTGAAGCATCTCACTGTCCAGCAGGAAGCTTTTTTTTTCTTTTTTGTTATTAATTTTATTGAGAAAAAATTGCAATATGACAGCTTCAAAACAGGTTGGTAGGAGAGTTACAACAATTAATACATTGCATATTGTCTTTGTGGTAGTCATTCACAGTACAAGATGCAGACATGATATCTTGTCCAAACACTATTAGTACAGATCTTTCTTCTTATTGAATTAAGAGAAAGTAGCTATATTATCTATCCTAACTATTTTTTTTCAAAGTTTTATTGATAAATAGCAAGGAGACAGTTTCAAATCAAATCAGAAGTACAGTTTCAACAAATAATACACTGCATATATTCTTCTTAGTGGTTAATTGCTGTACAAGATGCGGACTTGTGATCCTATTTACAAACACCATTAGAACAAATCATTCTATTCATTAAGAGAATGCAACTATATATCTATCCCAACCACTTTGAATACACAGATACAAAATGGACATTCATAGGCATACCCCATTTTTTCTAAGTTCCGTTATTGAATATTATAGGTGTGTAAACTCAGCAAAATATTCTAAAAGAGTCCAGTAGCCCATAATAGCATTGGGTCTTCTGTTTAACTGGCAATGTCAGAAATTATTGACCTGAGTCCCCCACAGCTCAACTTAACAGCATGGCTTTATTTCCTATATTTTGTCTTCATACTTTTCTACTGGATGGTTAAGACCAAGGTAAAGCAGGACCTGTGCAACAAGAGTTGTAGCTTTTTGGTCTGAGAAGGTCAGTGAAATGCCCTCAGGATTTATCCTGAGATCTTGTACCTCAGGTTGTAGAACCTTTGTCAGTGCAGCCATGTGGATGAGTCACGGCCATTGCTTGGCCAATGTGCTCTCTGTGAAAGCCTGAGAGAGTGTCTTCTCCCCATGTGACTCTCCTTAGGCACACTCTACGTCATTGATCTCTTTCCTCTTTGGCCCCATAATCTTCTTGATCAGAAAATTTGGGACACTACCGAGGTACATGATGTTACAGTACAGGTTCTCATATGTCCTGAGTCTTAATTGACCTTAGAAGACTAGGGCCAAAATGTTAGCTTTCCTTGTAGCCCTTCTTTTTCTCTAATTTCGGTCTGCAAACTTAGGTTGTTAACCATCCAGAAGACAAGCTTATTGTTATTATCAAACGATTTAGGCTATCAAGCTTAACCTCGCTATCTCACTGCATTTCAAACATCTTAGGCATAATAAGGAACAGGTATTTTTCATCAAGTATTGATATGTTGAACTTTAAGTCCCTACATAATATAAAAAACATTTAAAAATTAGATTATATTTTAAAAATAGGATAAAGAATTCTATACTTCTCATGTTTGCACATAAGTCCAAAAATCTCACCATATACAACCTTGAAGCAGGACGGTCCCACAATATTCCTTTTCCTGTCTCTCAGCAGGAAGCTATTTTGATGGTGGTTTACAGAATGTGGAAACCATAA